GAGAGGGACAGAGACCAGGACAGCGGGGAATATATGCACAGAGAGGGACAAGGAGTGGGACACAAGATTGCAGAGAGAGGTACAGGGAAGCGGAAAGAATGACAGAGAGAAAACGAGGCCAGTGGGGAGCAGGTCAGAGAGCTGGAGAAAGACAAAATACTGCTGGGGAGCAGCACAGGAGGAGAGAGCCAAAAGAGATGAATGGGAAGCAGGGCAGTGGGATGCAGACAGCAAAAATAATGATCCACAACAAGACAGAGGGACAGAGAAGTAAGGGAGAGGGAACAGGACAGAGGAATGGAAGGAAAAAGCACTGATGAGCAACAGGACGAAGGGATGTAGAGAAAAGGGAGGAGGGGAAAGGAAGGAGGGAGAGAGAAAAAAAGATGGGAATAGAGCATGGAACATGGAAAGACCAAAAGCTGGATAAGGAACAGGACAGACGGACTGAGGGTGGTGGGGAGAGGGGAACCAGATGTACATTAAGACAAGAGATGGAGAAGGGGAAAAAAAAACCAGTGATGGGCTGCTGGACAGAGACAGACGAAGAAAAAGTAGGGCCAGAGTATGGAAGAGAGAAAGGAAAAAAGGGACAGCTGGCTGTATAGGGGGTTATAACTATAAACAATGAGACAGGCAGCAGGACAGAGGCATAAAGGCAGAATAACCAGGGAGAGGAAGCAGGACAGATGGTGAGGGGAAAAAAGAAGGGCCAGGGAGCAGGACTGAGAGATGGAGAAAGCAGCATTTCGGGCAGAGGGATAGAGAGAAGAAAGCACAGGCTGGAAGAAGGACAGGGCAGGGGGGAACAATGGATACAGATTAAGACAGAGTGACAGAACCCAGACAGACAGCAAGAGAAAGAAAAAAACAGTGACAAGCAGCAGGCCAGAGAGGGGGGCAGGGGGAAGGAGAGAGGGATACAGAAGACAAGTGAGGGACAGGGATCAAGAAAATGGGATATAGAGAAAAAAAGGAGGGATGGAGAGCAGGAAACTGGGATGGAGAACAAGTGAGAGCAACAGGGATAATGACGGGGAGATGGAGCCAGAGGAAGAACAGGGACCAAGAGCAGGACAGAGAAATGGAAAAGGAAAATTAGGGATGGGGAGCAGGACAGATGGGTCCTGGAGAGACAAGGGACCCAAGTATAATGACAGAGAAAGAGGGAGGAAGGAAGGGAAGGACGGATGGCAAGCAGCACAGCAGGATGCAAAAAGAGAGGAATGGGCAGCAGAGCAGATAAATGGAGAAAGAAAATAGTGGTGGAGAGCTGGTGAGAGAACTAGAAAGAAAAATAAGACAATGGAGAAGACTGAGGAGCAGAAAGAGAAAGGAAGGTAGAAGGATAAGGTCAGAAAGGTAGAAAAATCAAGAAAAATACTAAGGACGAGAAGCCCTGCAAAGAGATGGCACAAGAAAACATAGGGCCAGTGAGAAGGACAGAGGGATAGAGAGATGGGGAAGGAAAGGAGAGGAGGGAGAAAGGAGGAAGGAGGACAGGGGCAGGGTGCAGAACACACAGACAGAGAGAGAAAGAGGACAGGGAACAGCACAAAGGGATTGAGAAAGAAAGAAAGGGTTAGATCTGTACAAAGAGACCAAGAAGGAAAAATTAAAAAAACAGCAATGGGCTAGAGGACAGAGGCAGAGGAAGATAAACGGCCAGGTAGCAAGAAAGAGGAGGAGAGAAAGGGAAAAAGTCAGAGCTGGTTGGACAGGGAGGTATAGCAACAAATGACCAGACAGGCAGTAGGACAGGGAAATAAAGACAGAAAAAACAGGGACAGGAAGCAGAACAGAGGGACAGTGAGAGGAAACAAGGGGCAGGGAGCAAGACAGAGGTGGAGAAAGAAGCATTGGGGCAGAAGGATAGAAAGAGAAAAGAGA